ATCTATTTATTAATTTATTTATTGAATAGTTTTATTTTATTATTTATTTGTATTTATACTAAGTGATGGTTTACATTCAACKATGTTTTGTGTTGCTCTTATCTGACTGGGTGGCAACTGCCTTCAGCTGGAGTGGTGATGATCTATCGTTGCAAAAATAAAAATTGTTCAACTTCAGTTTTTTTGGACRTTTTAAAGCTGCTCTGTGCCATCTTTCATTGCCCACCCCCATCAAAACAAAAAGAAAAAAGAAAAGAAAGGTCTCTTAATGGATGCTTAATCTTTATGACTGAACTTTAAACTTTAAACTTCAAAGCTTTTAGAACAATTTTTTGAAGTTTTGAGGTTGGTTTAAATTAAAGATAACAGAAATAGATTTTGTCTATAACGTTCATTTAATACRTGTAAATTAAATGTGGACCATAAGACTGGCTGTTCTTTCTCTGACCACTCAAGACACTGGGTAATTCGAACGTTCGCCGAACCCCTCTTCAGGGTTTTGTTGGCATTTCTCAGACTTTCACATTAACATCATAAATGCCACCAACATTCCTGTTAGTAATTTKGATGTTTTTACTAAATGACAAGGGTTTCCAGGTACTCAAGTTTCCCACATGTTAGATTWACTGGAGACTCTAAATGTCAGGAACTGTGTTTTTATGGTTATTGTTTGGTTTTCATGCTTATTTTGTTTGTTTGGCTCTGTTCCTCTGCATTTCCTTGCAGCGCCACGTTATTTCCCCAGAACTTTATGTCCACGGTCAACCTTTGCTCCTAAGTCCTGTTCCTCCCACTCAMACCAGTTCACTATTTTATGTCTCAGCTGATGTTGCTTATGCCTGGATGCCTGGTTCACAGGGCAGATARCTGTGCCAAATTTTGGCCCGATTTTGTCCATCTGACAATCTTAAAGGGATCCACGATTAGTTGTAACATTAAACTTTATTTGATAAACATTTATTTTAACTGTAAAATAAAGACTGTAAAAATACTGTAGGCTGTTTAGTTTTGTAGATTTTTTAAAAATATATTTTAACACGGACGGAGCCATTTTATTTACATGCAAAGCATTCTGGGTAAATGATGACGTGGATAGGTCATCGGTGCGAGGCTGCTAGTGAGCAAATCCACCCTGAAGGTTAATCTTGGACAGTATCTGATGATTGTCTCTTTTAAATGAAACCAGAGAGYGTTGACAGAGAGGAGAAGGTAGAAATGACTCAGCCTGTAACTGAAAATATAGATGAAGGACAACAGAGCTGCTTCATGGAAGAAGAACCTCAGCTTAGCCTGTTAGCCTTTGCGTTAGCGCCCACGCTATATTGCCTTATATGTATTAGCTCGGCGCTAGCGCGACAAACAAGCTAAACTGAGGTCCTCCATCCATATTTTCAGTTGCAGTCTGAGTCATTTTTGCGTTCCCCTCTCTGTCATGTGGATGGATGACCTCAGTGAAGAGAGGAGAATGTGTAGCGCTGAGCTAATACATATATATGGTGATAGCGTCGGGGCTAATGCTAAAGCTAATAGGCTAAGCTGAGGTTCTTCTTCATGAAGCAGCTCTGTTGTCCTCCATCTATATTTTCAGTTACAGGCTGAGTCATTTCTACCTTCTCCTCTCTGTCAACGCTCTCTGGTTTCATTTAAAAGAGTCGATCATCTGATATTGTCCAAGATTAACCTTCAGGGTGGATATAGCTCGCTAGCAGCCTCGCACCGATGACCTAGTTGATGTCATCATTTACCTAGAATGCTTAGCATGTAAATAAAATGGCCCCGTCCGTGTAATATATTTTAAAACTTTTAGTTTAAAAATTATAAAAGCTGAACAGCTTACAGTATTTTTACAGTCTTTATTTTACAGTTAAAGTATATGCTTATCATATAAAGTCTAATGTTACAACTAATCGGGGATCCCTTTAAGGACGCTCTGATAATCGTGATAGTGCTGAGAGTCATCTCGGCTCAGAAGGACGTTGGGGCTGCTCTGACTGCAAATCGGATATTCATCATGTTCGATTGTCTTGGCCCAAGTGGTGTTCCSTGAGGACAAACGAGCTCACAGATTGTTGAATGTGACGTGTGRCCAATCGGAAAGCATGATGATGGAAACACGGAGGGGAATCCAAAATGCAGAAGGCAGAACTGTCATGGTGCACCAGAAAGTCYAGTGGATGWCTTTTTGTTTTGTGTTTTCCGTTAAAGCCCACAAACTAATGCCCTTGCTTCTTCCTCGTCTGCCGTGTTCATTTACTGAGCTCATATTTGATCTCAAGATTCAAAGATTCAAAATATTTATTGTCATATACACAGATGAAACATTTCCCTGAGCAATGAAATTCTTACTTTGCTATCCACAGTGAATGCCAAGAGACACCCAGACAAAAAAAAGAGCACTTAAAGGATACTAAGAAAGTAATTAGTGATAAAGCATAAAAGGTTTCGAGAGATTTCCTGTCTGACATCTGAATGTTGGTGAGTAGAATCTGGTGGTGTGATGTCTTAGCTGTGCGGCTGCGCACCACACGCTGTAGGACCAAACCTGTTATCTAGGAGTTTTTATCATGTGGGGGTCTCACGATCTTTGAAAATCAGCCAACAATTTTAAAATCTTGTCGTGTGAACCAGGCATTACCTCCTCAGTCCCAGTCTTTTGTCTTCTCCAGTCTTCACCTCAGCTGGGTTCTGGCATTGTGTGTCATTCAGCATGTCTGGTTCTCCTCTGTGTTTCTGCGACTTTTTGTAGTTTTTCTTGTCACGTCAGCCCTTTGATTTATTAAATAAATGTAAGTTGTTGTTGTTTTTTTTTTTATTCAAAGTATCGTCCTTGAGTCTGCATTCCTGGGTCTACTCCAAGGGTCCTCGAGGGCAGAAGCCCTGCATGTTTCACCTGTTTCTCTGCTCCAGCACACCTGATTTGAAAGAATGGGTGATCATCGGGGCTTCTGCAGAACTTGGAAGAGGTAATTCAGTGACTGAATTGGAGCATGGAAAATTGTCAAACATGCAGGGCCGCGGCCCT